AAAGCAGCAGGTGAGGGTTGCAGTGAGCTGAGATCACAAGACTATATCTGAAAAAATGAAATAAAGTAAAATAAACCAGCTTTACTGAGTTATCATTCACATACAATCTACCCATTTATTTATTTTCATTTTATTTTTTGAAATAAAGTTTCACTCTTGTCACCCAGGCTGGAGTGCATTGGTGTGATCTCAGCTCACTGCAGCCTTGGCCTGCAAGGTTCAAGCAATTTTCCTGCCTCGGCCTCCCAGGTTCAAGCGATTTTCCTGTCTCAGCCTCCCATGTAGCTGGAATTACAGGTGCCCGCCATCCCACCTGGCTCAACATTGTATTCGTAGTAGAAACAGGGTTTCACCATGTTGGCCATTTCCGGGATTACAGATGTGAGCCACTGTGCCCCACCCAATTTACTTATTTAGTTTACACTTTAGTGTACAACCATAACCACAACCACCCTGACTATACAGGGGTAGGAGGAGAATGCAGAGAAACAGGGCTTGGTGGCAAAAGTGAGGCACAGGCCACGGGACTGGCTCTGCAAGACTCACCCGTGAAGTTATGCTTACTGGTGGCAGCCATGCTGTTGAGAGTGATGGTCCCAATGGAGTTCTGGATGGTGGGAAGAAGCAGGGCTGGGCTGGAGCACAGGGAGTGGCCTCCTCTCCCCCAGCCAGGCTGCCCAGCCCCCTCCTCCTGGAAAGAGGATCAGGGCAGGCAGGATGGGAGCTGGGGCAAGGCATCTTTTGCACAGTCCTAGGAGGGAGGCAGGAGCCCTGAGTCTCTCAGTACTAGGCATCCATGCCATGGAAGACCTCAGTGCCCATGGGAAACAAATGAAGGTTTCACCAGGAGCCATAGGACCCTGCCTTCTGGTCTCAGGTGTGGCTCCATGTCCTGGCAGGTGCTGAGGGTGACTCCCCCTAGGGAGGAGGGGAAGGGCATCTCGCCTGCTCAGAGCAGCTCTCGAGCCACAACCAAGGGGATTGCCTGGAATTGCCCCACTGCAGGGACAGGGATTCATGGTGACCAGGGCTTCTCACAGGCAGACGACCCCTCCCCCCCACACACACCCAACAGAACCAAGTTCTGGTTGCCAGGGCAACCACCTGGAGCTCAGTCCCTTCCCTGGCCCAATCAAACTGGGTGCACACTTATCCCCAAGTGTCTCCAGAACACTTATCCCCAAGCACCGAGTCCCCTTGGGTGCAGGACCCTGGTCTCCTGACAAATGTCCCCATATGTCATGCTGAGGGCAGCGGGCTGGGCTGGCCAGGAGACTCACTGGAGAGCTCTGGCCCTGCTCAGAAACATTTACTGGCTTGGACATCCCCATCTAAGTGAGAGCTGGGGTTCCATGCAAGGTGTCTCTCTGAGCAGACAACATGACTATCTGTCCCATTCTGCCCTTGCCAGCTCATCTGTCACTCCCTAAGGTTACACAGCAGCTACCCCCATCAGGCCCTCAGAGCACTGATGCCTCACCCACCTCCCCAGAGGTAGGATGCCGATCCACTTCTGCACCTCCAGCAGCTGCTCAGAGTCTTGGGTCAGTGCCATGGTGTGGCTGTGGAAAGCCAGGGGCAGGAGAGTCAGGGCAGCCGGGGTCTTCCCCTCCAGCATGGCCCCTGCACCTCACTCAACTCACCTCAGAATCCAGTGGCTCCAGTGGAGGGGCTTGGCCCTCTGCAGGTGGCTGTACCCTGGGAAGAGGACATCATGTTCCCTGTGGGAGAGAAGGAGCAGGGGCTCGGGTGGAGGCTGGGGCAAGGTCTGCTGGTGACACTGGAACCCTGCAGGCCTGGGTCACCCCTGAAAGTAGTGTTGTCCTGCAGCACTGCACCTGAATGAGGGATCCAGGATCTCCCAGGGAAAAACTGCTCTCAAGGGAAAAAGAGGCTGGAAGTGTGGCCATGTGAACCATGCACTGGGCCTGCGCTATGGGGCTCCTGGGTTGAGGCTTTGCCAGGAACACCCAAAGCCTGAGCCTCTGTCACTCAGCATCTCTGAGTGGGAGCCAGAAAAGGGGAGGAGGGCAGTGTCGGGTATGACATGGCCATGGGAGGTTTCGTTTGAGGACCCAAGAAATAGCTGGGGCTCATAAAGATCCGCTCCAAGCAGGTGGGACATCCTATCCCTCGTTCAAGTCACCATTTTTTGTATTTTTGGCAGAGGCAGTGTTTCACCATGTTGGCCAGGCTGGTCTCGAACTCCTGACCTCAAGTGATCCACCCACCTCTGCCTCCCAAAGTGCTGGAATTATATGTATTAGCCACTTCGCCTGGCCTTTTTTGTTTGTTTGTTTTAAATAAACCAGCTTTGCTAAGGTATCATTCATATATAATCTACCCATTTAAAGCTTGCACTTTAGTGTACAACCAACACCGATTTAAGAACATTTTCATCATCCCCTAAACAAATTCTGTACTCAAGGCCAGGTATGGTGGCTCAAGCCTGTAATGCCAGCTCTTTGGGAAGCCAAGAGGGAAGGATCACTTGAGGCTGGGAGTTCAACCAGACTAAGCCACATAGTGAGAACCCATTTCCACAAAATATTTTAAAAACTCACAGGTGTGGTGCACACCTGTGGTCCAATCTACTCAGAAAGCTGAGGTGGATGGATCATTTGAGTCCAGGAGTTTGAGGCTGCAGTGAGCTATGATCGAGTCACTGCTCTCGAGCCTAGGTGACAGGGCAAGAAATCGTCTCTGAATACAACTTAAAAAATTAAAAATGTGGCCAAGTGCAGTGGCTCATGCCTGTAATCTCAGCACTTTGGGAGGCTGACCACAAGATCAGGATATTGAGAACATCTTGGAAAACACAGTGAAACCCTGGTCTCTACTAAAAAATACAAAAATTAGCTAGGCATGGTGAGGCAGGAGAACCACTGGAATCCAGGAAGCAGAGGTTGCAGTGAGCTGAGTGCCACTGCACTTCAGCCTGGGCACAAGAGCAAAACTCTGTCTCAAGAAAAAAGTTAAAAATTTAAAATTTGGGCCAGGCGCAGTGCCTTATGCCTGTAATCCTAGCACTTTGACAGGCCAAGGTGGGCAGATCACCTCAGCTCAGGAGTTCGAGAGACCAGCCTGGCCAGCATGGCAAAACCCATCTCTACTGCAAAAAAAAATACAAAAATTAGCTGAATGTGGTGGCACTCACCTGTAATCTCAGATACTTGGGAGGCTGAGGCAGGAAAATCACTTGAACCCAGATGGTGGAGCTTGCAGGCAGGAGAGATCACACCACTGTACTTTAGACTAGGCAACAGAGTGAGACCCTGTCTCACAAAAAAAAAAAATTAAAGAAACCGTGAACTCGGTAGCAGACCCTCCCTGTTCCTCCTAGCAGCCCCACCCCACCTCCAGGGTGACAATTTGTGTGCCCTTGTTTCCCCCCAGGTCTGAGAAACAGGGTTCACAGGGAGTTGAGGAAGAGGAGGGGTCTCTAACAACACATGGTGACTCCTCAGTAGCTCCCCCTCCGGGTCTGCAAGGAACAAATCCAAACCCAAAGACACCAGGTCCCAGAAGCCAAAGCCTGGGATGAGGCCAGCAGGAGGCAGCCTTTGGCTCTGTCTTTCACCAGATGGGCTGGGTGGGGACACGGAATATGGGATGGGAGACCAGGGCACAGACAGGGTGGGGAGAGATTCTGGCTGCTCCAGGCACAGCCAAGATAGTGCCTTAGCTTCCTTCCCTCAAATCCACAAAGGGTGAGTTTTCTTTTTACTTTTTATTTTTTGAGACGCAGTCTCAATCTGTCTCTTAGGCTGAAGTGCAGTGATGCAATGTCAGCTCACTGCAACCTCCGCCTTTCAGGTTCAAGTGATTCTCTGGCCTCAGCCTCCCACGTAGCTGTGATTACATGTGCACACCACCATGTCCAGCTAATTTTTGTATTTTTAGTAGCGACAGGGTTTCACCATGTTGGCCAGGCTGCTCTTGAACTCCTGAGCTCTGGTGATCCTCCTGCCTCTGCCTCCCAAAGTGCTGGGATTACAGTTGTGAGCCACCACACCAGGCCCCACGAAGGGTGAGTCTTCCCTGACTGCTGGGCTAGACTGGCATGGACTCGAGTATTGGGGCCTGCAGGAAATGCCCCACTCCTGGCTGATCTGCCTTGATCCTAGAGATCCGGGATGCCCCTGTCTCCCAGGGCCTGGCACCCCCACCCTGTTCAGCCCTGCCACCTAAATCTGCTGTTAAGGCTGCCATCACACCTGTCTCTGCCCTGTGGCTGTCCCTGGGGAACTCACACCTCTGTCCATTCCACCATGGTCCTGATGAGCTCCCAGAGGAGGCCCAGGAGCATGGAGCAGGGCTGCAGCATCCACAGCCTGAGGTCTGTGACCACCTGCATGAGGAGGAGGTGGTGCTCAGCGAGGCCGGCGTGCTGCTTTCCTGGGAAGCCAGGACCCTGCTGAGCTCTAACTGCCCCCTGGGCTCCCCACGGTTGGGACAGCATGGAGCAGGGGGCTGGAGGAACTAGAGGCACCTGATCATTCTGGCTGTGTCCTGTGTGCAGTTTCCCTGGAGTTTCACCAATAAGCTGAGCTCCTGGAGGTGAAGGGAGGAACAGGGTCACAGTTTATATGCCCACAGGGATCAACCCTTTGGGCATATAGACTGTGCCAATATCAGCCCTGCCAACCTCCCTCCCTACCCCAGGGCTCTGGGTCCTGCTCAAATCTCTTGCCATTTCTGCTGAGGCCTTTTTTTAAAAAAATAATTTTTGTAGTTATAGAATCTCACTGTATTGCCCAAGCTGGTCTCAAACTCTTGGCCTCAAGTGAACCTCCCACCTCAGCCTCCCAAAGTGCTAGATTATAGGCATGAGCCACTGCTTCTAGCCCATGTCCTGAGGTCTCCGCTGCTGTCTGCCAATGGCGAAGTAAACAAAATGATGGTGCCAATGCTCAAAGTGGCCCAGGGCCAGGTGGAGAAGGGAGTTCAGGAAAGCGATGGGGCTGCAGTGGTCTTACCTTCAGGTGACGCTCATTGGCTGTCCTCATCATTGGGGTTGAGTCTGAAGGTGCCCTGGGCCCACACCTTAGTCACCTATAGTGGGATGGCAGCAACACTGGGAGTCAGGGGAACAGGTAACAGCAGCCAGGAGAGCCCCTGCCCTGGTCCCACCCTATCCCTCATGTCACTGTCCAGTAGCTGAGTCCTGGAAGCCCACCCTGGGAGGGGGCATCTTGGGCCCAGCACACCTTCACCCATGAGCCACGGGGGCCACATGGTCATTAAAGGATGGAGAAAGGCGGTCATCAAGGCACACAGTTAAGCAGGATTAGGATATATAATTAGTTCAATGTGAAACCACAGTCAGGCAACACTGCTATTTGCTCAGCCTGGGGGCACATGAAGGGGCCTCAGGTGGGGCTTGGGCCACAGGAGTACCTCATAAGCTGCCTGTTCCTTGAGCACGATGTGTACCATGGGGAGATGGAGTGAGGGCAGCACCGTGGGGAAGGGACAGGATTGCCACCCTGAGCTGTGTGACCTTAGACCAGACCCCTCTTCTCCAACTGAGGCCAGCCAAACAGGTGATTTTGGGAGCCAGTGCCTGACAGTCTGGATTTTAGCTTGATGGGTGGATGGGAACCTGTGAGAGTTTAGAGACGCTGGGAGAACCTTTTCCTGGGAGAGCTTTCCAAACAGAGCCACCCAGGGCCCCATTGAGAAAGGATCCTACCAGAAGCCTTCATCACTGTCTTTCTCCACGCTGGTGGTGATGGTGTCATGGATGTAGGTGTTGGGTGTTGTGTACAGAAGCACAGACTGCTGCAGTCCTGTTGAGTTGAAGAAGTCAAAGTCTGTGTTCTGGACAAAGTAACCCTTGGGATATCTAGGGTGGGATAATTGTGGTTCGCTGGGTCCTTGCCCTGGGTCCTTTGACCTCAGCTGGAATGTCTCCACAGCCTTGCCAGATCCAGGGCCTCCAATCTTCAAAGGCCACCCTATCCCTAGCAGGAAGACCATCGGGTGGAGCGGGAAGGTGGGTACAGGCAGTGGAGGCAGGATGGTATCCACTTGGAGGTGTCGGTCATGTAGTGCATGATCCCTGGTGGGAGGGGGAAGGGGGTGAGTGTGTTGTTGATGGTGATACTGACATGGAGGTGGGAGGGCAGGGTCCCCACCTCGACCAGGCTGCTGATGTTGGCCTTGAAGGGGAGGTAACCCTTCTCATGGTCTAGCACATAGAAACCGTTCACCCACAGCAGACACAGGAGATATGGGGAGGTGGTGGCAGGTCAGGGCATGAGGAGGGGCCCTGCTATGGGGCACTCCCTCACATAACCTGCAGCAGGGGGCTCAGAGGCCTGCCAGCCACATGGAAAGAATGGCATCCCAACAGGGTAAATCAGGCCACCTATCTGTCTACACAGGGCACAGCCCCCAGGGCAGGACAGGACAGGGCCCCCACCGTCCCACCCCAGGAGACAAGCTGTGGCTGGCAACCAGAGGTCCCATGTTGTTCAGCAACAATGCCCACCCACCTGCCCTACCTGCTCCTGGCCGCACTGACCATGATGGCATAGGAGTGGGCACTGCCAATCCTCAGCACCCCTCTTGTGCACAGGTCCTGGGTCCACC